GCCAAATGCGTTATCTTGAGGGGACCACATTTAGGGTGATAATTGAAATCACTCTCCGTAGTATTAGCATTTATCAATCTAGATAGGTACTTAGTACACAGCACAAAAAAAAAAGGAGAAAGCGGGTCGCCTTGCCTTAAACCTTTATGCCCCTTGAAAAACCATGAATGCCACCATTCAAGCTAACAGAGTAGGATGTTGTGGTGATGCATTCCATAATCCACCCTATGAATTTTTGTGGAAAGTGTAGACCCACTAGCATTTGTCTGATGAATTCCCAGTTCACCGAGTCATATGCCTTGCAAAGATCAATCTTGAGTAGGCATCTTGGTGCCACCTGTTTGCGGTTGTAGTGTCTTAATAGTTCCTGTGCTAAGTGAACATTCTCAAACATACTTCTCCCCTCAATAAAAGCTGATTGGGCTTTGTCAATAAGGCTGCCCAGTATCGATTTTAATCTAGCAGCCAAAATCTTGGCTATGGTTTTGTAAAATACGTTGCAGCACGATATGGGTCTGTAGTCCCCCACAATAGTGGTATGGCCAGACTTGGGTACCAAAGCAATCACCGTGTGGTTGACCTGTTTGAGAAGTGCTCCCGAATTGAAAAATTCCAGAATAGTGTCAACAAAATCTGCCCCAATAGTTGGCCAAGCTTTCTTGAAGAAGCAAGCAGAGAAGCCATCAGGCCCTGGTGATTTATCATCATCAATATCAAAAAGAGCATGCTTAATCTCAAGATAGGAGATGTCCTGACTAAGTGAGTCCCTTTGCTCCAGATTAATCAAAGGACCGTTTAGGATCACATTCATGTCAACAGGTGTGTTGCAACTGTTTTGCCCCATTAGGGATCTATAGTAGTTGATGAATTCAATCTCAACTTCACTTTGAGAAGTAGTGAAAGTGCCATCATCCTTGAGTACTTTGGCAATAAAGTTTCTCTTAGTGTTTCTCTTCATCATAGCATGGAAGAACTTAGTACATTTATCACTGTTGATAAGGTACCTACATTTTGCCTGCTGATAATAGAAACTGCGTTCCGCTTCACCAAGGTCCATAGCCTTTTTCCTTAATTCAGCAACCATCGTCTGTAACATCTGATCAGTCGGTCTATCATGCAACATTCTCTGCCCACTTTCCAGTTCCATTTTGGCAGCATTCACCCTAGAAGATATGTGTCCAAAATGTTTGTAGTTCAGTGTTTTCAATGCTGCCTTCAGATTCTGTAGTTTCTTACAAAAAACAAACTGTTTAGTGCCTCTAAACCTGCTACACCAGCCATTCTGTACAGCCTCCATAAAATTTACATGTTTTGTCCACATGTTGAAAAATTTGAAGGGCCTACGGTGATTGTCCTGACCGTCGAGTATTGAAACTACACACGGAGAGTGATCCGAAAGGCAGCCTGCAGGTGGAAAATCAGCATCCCCAAGTGTATCACTTTGCATCCAAACCTCATTAATCATAGCCCTATCGAGTTTACTCCAAATGGAGTTGTTGGTCCAAGTGAAAAAGCAACCCGTCGACCTAAGATCAGAGAGCCCAGTATGCCTGCAGCAATCTGCAAAGTCTTTTATTTCATATGGTGTTACCCCCAGACCATTGGTCTTCTCTTCGAAATGAAGTACATTGTTAAAATCCCCCAGCAACAGCCATGGTAACTGGACGTTCATGCCATTAATATTATCCCATAGTGTTCTCCTCGATACAATGGTATGAAAACCATAGATGAAGCTCACTTGAAATTTACGGCCAGTAATCTTACAAGTAACAATGCAATGAACAGCTTGTTGTACACAATCCGTCACTTCTAACACGATCTTCATTGGGTTCCATAGAATCAGTATTCTTCCAGCCTGATGCAAGTTGAAATTATTTACGTGCTTCCACCCTTGAAATTTGTTCCTCATAATACGCTTCAGTTTCATTTCATTAAGTTTTGTTTCTAACACTCCCATTATGTCAATATCATACTTCTTAATTAGATCCCGAACCCCATTTTGTTTTAGCGGCAGGTTCATACCCCTAATGTTCCATGAGGCTATCTTCATGAGGTTGAAGCGAGGGAACCCCCCTTCTTCTTAGTATTTTTGTTCTTGGAACCCTTTTTCTTCTTTACAACTCTAGTGAAGTTGCCATTCCTGTCATCATTTGTCTGTGAAGTCATAACTTTTGTAGATTCCTTACCCTTCAGTCCATCTTCACAAACAGTGTCCTTGTGCTGCGTGTTTCCAGATTCCTTATTCATTTCGGAACTAGTTCCAGCCAAATGTGTGTCCTGTGTTTCAGCAGCATGGTCATGCTGTTTATTTCTAACGCCTCCCTCACTACATTCTTTATGCTTATCAACTAGTAAAGTAGTAGTCAGTTGATTCTGCACCTCAGTCCCAGTAGGCTCAGCCACCGTAGTGTTACTAACCATATTTGCTTTCCCATGGTTTTCCTTTGTCTCCCCCTTAGACCCATTCTTATGTTTACATCCACTATCAGTGTGACCAAACATTTTGCAATAATTACAGAACTTCGGTTCTTGTTTATAGATGATTTCTTGTTCTCTAATATTGCCATTAGAGAATCTGATCTTAACAACCCTTACTAGTTCTTTAGATGCATCCACCTCAACTAGGGCTCTAGCAAATGAAATTCTATCTCTAGATACAGTAACTTTGTCTGTAGAGATAGGTGTGCCCACTTTAGAGACAATTTTACCCAGCACTTTGACATTCCATAATTCTAAGGGTAGTCCAGGCATGTTAATCCAGACAGGCATTAAGCTAACCCCACTGTCATCAAATTCAAAGAGTTTAGGCATTACCTTAAGTGTCAGGTGTCTCCCAAAAATAAAATATGGTCCTCCATGCAATACACTCAATCTTTCTGCATCAGTTTCAAATTTAAAAATCAGCCAACCACTAGAGTGGACACAATATTTGTAGCTAACTTTCCATGAATCACATAACTTGATAAGTGCAGCTTTGCCAGGGAACCTACCAATAAAATAACCAATGAGGCCAAACCCCCAAGTTGCCTCAACATTGTCCATTTCATCATCTGGAACAAATACCTCATCCTCTGTAGTTTGATAGGAATCCAATTTGATACTGTCATCCATGCTACCGTTATCCTTGAAGAGATTGACCTATGGGGCTTTAACCCCCAAATTGGTAGCCTCCTGTATGCCTTTACTCTCAACTTGTGGCTTCCTCACTGATTCATCAGAGTCTGTATCCTCAATGCCAAGTGTGTAGGAGACACTTGGTGATTTAGGGGGGGATGTGGAACCTCCGTCTCCCTTTTCCACTGAACCATTAGCCTCAAGCCCGCCATCCTGTTGAGTAGTGGCAGGGGCCAAACAAATCGGTGCATTTCCATTATGGCAGCCCAACAAAGATTCACCTTTGGTTGCCTTTTCACGCCCAACAATAGAGTATGAGGATTTTTTCTTCTTACCCATGGAGCATGAACGAATTTGGCCTAGAGACCGTACAATCAAGAGCTGTTCATAACAGACCAAATTTGAAATTTGAATCCACAAAAACCCAGATGTCGTCGATCTCACAAACACACAGATGGGCGAAATCAGTAGATAATAATCGTAGATGAGAAGATTACGAACAGAGATTCAAATGCGAAGAAACCCTTCCAGATTCCACGAAAGTTCTGTAAAATCAAAAAACCCCTGGGAAAATCAAGAATCCAGGTAATAATCACACCTTAAAGACCAGAAATCACCTAAGGGAAGGTGAATTCGAAGCAAGAAAAGAAGAAACGACAGAAAATGAGCGGCAAGGTGGGATTTTCTCTCACTTTGCCCGAGAGCGTCTCTCTCTAAAACTCACTTTTCTCTCTTCTGAATTCAGGCGAGCATGTTTCACATATGAGTGTCTTATTATGATGTATGGATACTGTGACTATGTTTCACGGGCAAGAGAGATATTTCGGCAGGTGGTCGAGTCTGAGGAGAAAAAGGTCTCGACATTGAATGCGATGCTTGATGTCTA